GACTGTAGCTTTTGCCATGTTAGAATTAAATTCTTCCCATTGAAGTATTTTGGCCCAGCCTTTGTGTGTGTGTGTGTGTGTTTGTTTTGATCATCTCCTGCAGAGCTATTTCCAGTGCTTAGTTTGTAATGAAAAATGTGCTTGAGCCCCAGCACTTTTTTTTTAACATTCACAGCTGATATAGCAAGTGCCGGGGTGCTGGGGCTCAGCCCAGGCCAGCCCTAGCACTAACACAGTGCTTGCTGTTTCTCCTGATGTGTTGCCATTCACAGGTGTGCATTTATTGATGAGTGGAACAGCATGGACCAGTGGTCCCCCTAATCTTGCTAGCAAGAGCCTTAGGACAGTGCCATCTCAAGAGGAAAATGAACACTTCTCACTTTGAACCTCTCTCCATGACTTGGGCACTGCTTGCTTAATGGACTCTATTTGCTTTTCTCTTCTCACAAGGTGAGTCTCCTTCATTCCCAAGGAGAATGCAGAAAGCAGAAGTCACGTATACTTCAAAAGGCCCATCCCAGGAATAGCTGCCGTTAAGCAATCAATCTACTATATATTTAATAGTTTGTCTGTCTGTGTCTGTTCAAGAACTCATCCTAAACAGTGAGAACCAGGACTACCAAATATGGCAGCTTCCTCTTACCATAACTTAAAGCAAGGTAAGGGATGGTTGTGCCAAGAAAACGGGCTGTGCCTGGAATGGGATTGCTTCTCATAAAACCATACAGAAAAGAGACAGAATCACCAGGCAGGTGAAAGGGGCTGGTTGGAGGCACCACCTGGCACTGCCCCATACCTGAGCCTCCTACCCCCCAGGCACCTTTTAGGGAAAGCAGGGGGCTGAAGTTCCTCTTCCCCCTCCCAATTCATACTGGGATATTGCCGGCTGTTCCCCTTTGTCAGGGAGTGAGTGGGGAGTGCACAGTTTGCTGCATTCCTCACGCTGACTGGGGAGCACAGGGGCCAAATGAACCTGGATCTGCCCCAGCCCTGGAACATGCATTCCTCCCTCAGCTGTGCCCACTGGAGCTACAGCAGTCATAGAGTGGTACTTCTCTTCTGGCCCCAAGCTGATGCGGTGAGAGAGGGTTGGGATAGTCCTCTCTTCTCGGGGCAGCCTGCAAACTGAACCCCTCATCTCCAGCTCCACCCCAGAGTACAGATTGAAATGAAGGAAAAACAACAATTACATGAATTAAGGACAGGAGCAACACTAGATAAATCTTCTAGTTGTGTATAAAGAGAGAAAAGCTCTCACACTTCTATTCATGTCAGCAACAAGGAACTGCAGTCAGGAGTTCAGGAAAATGAGTTTTCAAAGATTAAAGGCTGGTAACTGTCACTTTATGTGTCAAAGTCCATGTCTGACCCGTGTTCTTTGTTTTCTCTGTCTTCGTGGCAAGCTGCCTTGGAGAGACCTTTGTTCCTCCAAACCTGCCTGAGTGTCAGTTTCCTGTTGAATCTAGTCACATCCAACTTTGTGTTCATTTTGAAAGGGGAGAACCGAGGTAGGAAGGTTAAATGGCAGAGGAAAGGCTACACAGTGAGTCAATAGCAGGATCAAAATTGAATCTCAGACGGAGTTCTTGGCTCCTATTCTTGTGACTTCTGCCTTTTGAAGAGAAGGAAAGTAGTGAAATGGGCTCATAATAGATACTGTGTGTGAGAGCCAGAATAAACCCTTGTGTGAGTGTGTTTCTTATATATCTTTGACTGGAACTTCAGAATGTGCTTAATATAAATTCCTGCAATTATTGACTGAGACAGATTCTCTCCTGTGGTGACACTGCCTTATTCTGCATAGAGAAAATGACTCTAAACTAGGCACAGCCAGACACAGGAGTGCACAGCCACTAGAACAAGACCAAAATGCTTACATCCCTAAAATAGATGAAAGCAGCTCTCTTGGAATCACTACTTTGCCCATATATAGGGGTGTATCCATTTTTTAAATTTAACATATGAATCCAGTAGGTTATGAATCCAGAAATTAGGTGCCAAATTTCAACCTTGACTCAAATTTTTATAGCTCAAATAAAGCCTCTGAATATAGGAGTGTACTGTGGAAAGACAAGTAGACCTTAAGGTGCTAGAAGTGGCTTTTCCTTACAATTCCACATGATGTGCAAAAAATATCTAACTCAGGCCCAAACCAAAGGCACAGAAAAAGTGATTTTTTTTCACCCAGAAGCTGGATGTGCATAAATACAAAGTCCCGTTCCTGGGCTGAAGAGATGGTGTTGGAAAGATGTATCTGGGGTCCAGGACAGAAAAATCTCCATAACCCTCTATCCCTAACCCAAAACAAAGCTGTTTCACAGCTGTTCCACACAAACTAGTTATCTGCTCATTGGAGTAGCCTTCCCTAGCTTTTCCTCACCTGCCTACTTGATGAAAGGAGAAGAGGATCCACTACACAAAATGCTAGGCAGTGGCAATTCAGGCCTCTGATATTTCAGAGGACATCAAAAAATAATGCACTTAACCTCTCTATAATGACCAACTCTGCAGTGCTATGGTTGTAACATGCCTTTTTTGATTCCTGTGGCAATTAGCATAGTGAACTGAGGCAGGAAACCAAGTTAGCCTAACTTTAGTGTAATGTTGCTACTAGTCAATAAATAACCCAGCCCTTTTTTAAAATGTTTCTCAAGAAAGTGGCAGAAGCCTAGTTGAATGTCCAGCACCAGGAAAAGGAAATGTTTTCTTTGTGGAATAGCGGATTCTCAAATACAACACAACATCCATCTTCTCAGTTTGCGTGTGATACTAAATTTACTTCATTGGCCCATGAAAAAGAAACATTGTATCAGACTTCCTGAATTCAGCTGCTGTTTTGATTTAATAAAGTGCTCTGAGAGGGGCCATTTTACAATGCTCAACGTGCAAAGATCATAACAATGAAGTGCTTTTTGAAGATTGAGCTAAACCTAATATCGATGATGATCGAATCATATTAATTACTACTGTACATAATGGTGAATCCTTCTTCCTTCTCCTACTGTATGCTTGCAAAGGGAAGAAATAGCCACAAAGGGTCAGATTTTCAAGTGCTCGGGCTCAGTTCTGCCAGATTATCCAAAAAAACTCAATATGTTGGATGCAAAGCTCTTCTGAAAATCTGGACATTTATTTTGGTGCCTAAACAGGAGCTGCGCTCAGATGAATAGTGAGCCCTGGGTGATCATTTACAGTTTATACATCAATGTTGAAGTAGAATATTAGTCAGACTTGTTCCAAACAAGAGACATGGGGTCAAATATGACAACTTCTATTCATGTGTGAAGACTTATGTTTTCCGACAGTCTCTTTCAATGACTAAAGGTTGAATAATTGTACCAATCCCCTTAGAACATTTTTTAGATAACCCAAATAGACTGCAATTTTATACCAAAACTTTAAATAAGAGATAATATATATATAGATTTATACATATTTTAATACCCTTACTTAGGAACTGAAATGCAAAGGGAGAAGGTGGATTTTTTCAAACTTTTAATGAATAATCAGCAAAGTTACCTTTTTGTATTGTAGAAGAAGGGAGGAGTGAAAGAGTGGAAAAAAGATGACCTTTCACAGCATACTCTGCTCTTTAAGCACAAGTGTAATTTATGCAGTTGAGAGAGAATTTAGAACTTTCTATTCTAATACACTTTTGTTTTACTTTCCATTCCAAAAATAACTGAATTTTAAAATACAAAATTTGGTAGGCACAAAATAGAGAGTATGGGACTTGTATATTTCCATAACATGAGGAAAAATTGTCCTTGACACAACCAAAATGTAGAGCTGTGTAATGAACAAGAATGGGGGGGTAGGATATTTCAGAAAGCAAATCCCTTAATCCTCCTCCCAGCTTCTGCAGGATATGGTGTTGGTGGTGCTGGGGATGCAGTAGGAAGCCCAATGTATTGGCCCATTCAGGAACAGTTTGCTATTCAACACATCATCTTTCAGATTTGACTGGTAATAATTATATTCCTATTCTATGTGATCAACATGGTTTTATAGAAAAAAAAGTTTTGTAAAACAAACCTGATTTAATTCATTGAGATTATTAATACATTTGGTTGATAGAGGTTATTGCATAGAATTAGACTTTTGTGATACACGGCATTCAAGTTGTGGGAGGGAGGAGAGGGAGCAGGGATAGAGCTCAAATCAGTAGATTCATGATGCTCCGAAAGTGCTGGGAGGGAGGGAGAGAAGTAGGAAGTGCTAGGCTTCAAAGTGCGAGAAGTGAGGTGGAAGGGGACAAACACATGGTGCACGGGCCACAGGTGGAACCCCAGGAGCCGTGTGCAGGCCACAGGTTGCCCACCACTACTTTAGTCAGTTAAGCTTTTCAAAATTTTTTACCATAAGTAGCTTTGGCCCAAACCCTCAAAGATATTTAGGTGCCCAATTCCTATTTAAATCTATGGTTTAGGCGTTAGATCCCTAGGTGCTTCTGAAAATGTCACTAGGCACCTGTCATGATCATGAGGGTCAGCCAGCAGCCTAGGGACTAAGGAGTTAACTATGTCCCTTCCCTAAACCAGGTAACAGGTAGCCAATAGAAATCTAGGTAGGAATTTCAAACTGGGACAAAGGAATTTTAGGGGTTTTCCCTCCTTTGTCCCTGGGCAGTTTCTCTCCAGCGACTGAGGCGGACAGACAAAATGTCTTGCTCCAAGAAAAGACTCTTCACTATCTGCAAGTAGGGTTAAGGTTAGATAAATCCGTTAGGTTTTATGGTTTGGGAATGGGAATCTGATGTCTGTGCATTTAAAAATGGGTTTTTCTCTCCTTTGTAATGAAGTTTTGGCCCATGGTGGAACTTCTCATGAGTATATTAATTGGTGACTTTTCCATCTAGTCATTATGCTTATAACAGGAATATTGTGATGATAATAAAAGTTCTTTCTCTTTTCTTTTTATTAACCTAGTATTGTTTAATTTTTGTGTCCTGGTTTTCCTTTTCAGAAATCTGCCTTAGAAGCCTAAACCCCACCGACTTTCAATGACTTTTGAAAATGGGACTTGGACACGTGAGTCAATTACGCTCTTTTTAAAAAGTTACCCTTACAATTTTACTGCCCACTTCTCAAGAATGATTGCTCTTCCTCCTGGTGGCCTCACTGAAGCCGTGTCCACCTATAGGTACCACCACTGCAGTGAGCATAGACCTGCACACTGGGTGGCAGTATCAGCAAGAGGCCAAGAACTGAATGGACCTTGTGAAGCAAGTTATTCTTTCTCATCTATAGATAGTGACCAGACAGCAAGGGTTAGGCTGAGGCTCATAGGGCAGCCAGGAACAAACTTGCACAGCTGCTGTCCTGCTGGATCTGTTATATGCATCTGTTATGTGTCATTTTTCAAGGCTGGAAAGCAGTGCCTTCTTTGGAATATTAAAATCATTAACCCTATTTTTAAAAAATATGTACAAGTATATTCTTCATTTCAAGAATCCTGGGTGTATTAAATAATGTTTTACAGGTCGGGATCGGTGCTTTACATCCCAGGATAATGAACTGTCACCTTTGTTTCACTAGTATGTGTTGCCTTTGATGAGAGTGATACTTCATTGTGATTTTTTTTTCACCTTTCTTTTGGTTTGCCACATTCCTAATGCTCTGCTAGTGAACAGATCATATTTTCTTATAGCAATGGAGGAAATAATTGGCAGAACAGGATGATTCAATGGATGCAGGGTAAGTTAGCCAGCACACCATTTAAAAGGATTAAAAACTATAAACATTTTCAGAATCAAATATCTAGGAAGCAAATCTCAGTGATGACTAGCAGAAACTCAATTTAATGACTGCTGTCAGGTAGTCATTTGAGAACACGTAGAAGGAAATTGCCTATGACAACACGTGATTTCACAATAATTCACAGTCATACATCAAACCAATTAGTTGACATTCTTAAGTAGATAATTTAGCTTCTTGGAGCTGCAGCAGTGAATCAGTGTGTTGTGATGGGTGTGCCCCTTCACAGAGCAAAGATGATGTCAGCTGGAGTGGAATGCTCCTGAGAAGAAGTCAGCTGGTACTGAGCATATGTGACTTTGAAGCTGAGAAGGCAGCAAGCCTAAGGAATATGCACACTGAAAGATTTATGTGGCAACCAGCTATGGCTTAATTGCAGCTGTACGTATAGAGTTAAATACCCTTTTGTCAAAAATTAGTGACATGACTCCTTAATATGTTTAAATATAGATCCATGCTGTCAATCAGTATCTAGTGAAAATGTACCATAATTATAAACAGAAAAATTGACTTCAAACAGAAACTAAACTCACTTTTTAAAGCAATATTGAATAGAAAACATTATTTTGTTTGACAGTCATATAATTCCAAGGCACTAGAATATGGATTTTGAAACACCAGAAGCTCAGTCTTCAAGACACTTGACCAAATTCATTCCCATTATAACAAGGGAGTTTCTGAAGTTACCCCCAAAATTAATTTGAGCTATTGTTTCTCCATCACAGAATAATTTATCTGTCTAAGAATTTAATTTCTGAATAAACTGTTGGTTACAGGTGAGATGAATAGGAAAAGAGGGTTTAGTAGTGCATGTGACTTGTTAGCATTGCTCTGTGTGTACGTGCACTTATACCTATATTATTGATTATAATTAATCGGATCATTTACCTGGCCTTGCTTGGGTTCTTAACTCAATTAATAGTTGTTTTTTGGAAAATAAAATGAAAATGTACATGCTTCATTTAAATTGCTCAGGAAACATAAAAAAAAATTGCAATCTGGCCTGGAAGTCCTGGCAGCCCAGGGGTGTTTGTCACAAGAACATAAGAACGTCCGTACTGGGTCAGACCAAAGGTCCATCTAGCCCAGTAACCTGCCTGCCGACAGCAGCCAATACCAGATGCCCCAGAGGGAGGGAACACAACAGGTAAACATCACATGATCCTTCCCTTGTTCCTCATTTCCAAACAATGTGTCTGTCCCTGTTTCCTAAGCTCTGCCCTTTCCTGCCACCATCCCAGGCTGCCCTCTCCCTCCACATTGCACTCTGGCCCCTAGGGATGTGGCCTCTTGAATTATTGGGGGTGGTCCCTAGCTGGGGTGGTGAGTGCAGGGAGCCCTGCTTAGGGTGTTATTACCACACGAGCCCTCTTCTCCACTGTTACTGTCTCTGCTTTCTGTTGCTGCTAAATTCATTCCATGTGGGTGAATTTACATTTTGAATTTTATTTACTTCTTTTACAATTTAATCTAGGGTTTGTAATTTTATAACCTTCATCAATAGTATAGGTATTAACTCCTCTCTTACTGTAGGCTGTAGAAATGAGTCATCCCCTTTGGAAAAGGAGTTAAGAATCATCTCACTAGGTAACAATTTACCAACAGATCTTTCGTTCCAGCAGGCCCTCCCCTCTGGAACACAAGGCCTCTAGCTGTACCAGGGGTGGGCAGCAATTTTTGATGGGGAAGCCACTCCAAGATTTTAGTAAGTGGTCAAGGGCTGTGCTTTTCTATGAAGAGGGTGTGGGGTCTGGGACAGAGATTGGGTGCAGAAGGGAGCTTGAGGTAGGAGACTGGAATATAGGAGAGGGTATGGGGTATGAGAGGGAGTTTGAGTGAAGGAGGAGGTTGTAATCTGGGTCTAGGAGGTGATATGGGTGCAGGAGAGGATTCTGGACTGAGGGAGTGGAGTACAGGGTCTGGGAGGGAGTTGTGACCTCAGGGAACGAGGGGAGGAGAGTGCAGAGGGTTTGGATGGTGACCTGGGGCAGGGAGTTAGGGAGAAAGTGGAGTTGGGGTGCCAGAGACAGGCTGTGGTTGGGAGGTGCTAACCTAGGCAGCTCCTGGCTAGCAGCCCTGCAGGAACCCGAGGCAGGCTCCCTGCTTCCTATAGCCATAGGCTGTTCAAAATGTCTGACTTTCCTTGTGACTCTCCACTCTGGGAGCCAGGGGGACAGGGAGGCTTTGTGTGCTGCTCCAGTCCCTAGCAAAATCTCTCAGCTCCTATTGGCCAGTTTCCATGAAGCCTCCAACACTCCCCAGACCAGAGAGCCACAGAGATCAGCCAGCTGCTTAAAGTGGCATGGGGTTGCTTTGAAGTAGCTGGCTGATGTGTTCCTGAGGGTTCTGGCAGGGTGGCCCACTCCTGAGCTATGCGGATCTAGCAAGGTGTGATACCATTGGAATGTGTGGAAATGAGGCTCCTCTCTGGTTGGATTTTACACTGCCGCTATTGTTGTGGTAGCTAAGCTTGCATCTGTTTGGACATCTGTATACAAGGCCTTCCCTATTTGTGGCATCAGTGTTCCCCAGCAGCTGGCCTATTGCCACCTGGACTTACATGAGTCCTATAAAGGAGTTCATGTAGTATACAGTGACTTATGCAGCTTGTACTATTTACACTGATTTCCAAGGGGGAACATGACACAGAAGCAGCAGGGTGGGCAGCACACTTTTCTTGTTGACTAGACAATAGAGTTAGCTGAACTATAGAAGATACATTTACAGAACATCGGTACCTGTCTTTAAAAGAAAACTCTGATTCTCAGACTTTTTGTCCCTGAATCTCCTCAGTCACTCATGATGCAGCTCAGGATTTAATATACTAGCACAGAGAGTCTCAATTTTTTTGGGCTCTGGAGCCCTTTATATGCATAAAAATTTATGCGGAGCCCCAGCAGTCCACTGATTGTATGTGTTGTATCTATCGATGTTTCCAGTTTGTCAATCTCACGGAGCCCCTGGAGATGTCTCACGGAGCCCCAGGGCTCCGTGGAGCACAGTTTGAGAAACACTGTACTAGCACTTATCTGATGAGTGAGAAGCAATAATGTAGATTTTCTCTTTTTACCACACAATGAAATTAGAATGATCCAGGATGGAGGATTACCTTCACTGTGCAGTTCTGAACTATTTATACAATCCCCATTATTGTGATATATAAGCACAATAATATAACCTCATGAAACTCCTGTGATGTAGGGAAGTAGTATTATCTTAATGAAGTCACACACCATATTATTCAGTTTCCTCTAATTCTATGTGACTTGTCCAAGGAAGTCTGTGGCTGAGCCAGGAATTGAACTCAAATTTCCTAAATTCCAGCCTAAGTCCTTATCACTCTTAGGAATAATTACTCTTTATTATTTCTCATTTCCTCCCTCTACCTTGGAGTATTACCTCAGCAACTGACCAGTTTTGCTGTCTCTTTTGTTGTCTCTTTTTTTCAGGTGCACTAAGATGTACCTCAAAGTCTGGACTACCACAAGAGTTCCACAAGTTGATGTTTCTCAGGATGGTTTATGAATAAGCCACACTTGTCTGGGGGCTATGGTCCTGAGCTCACCTACCTGCCTATATCTCTAGTAATTGGCTCAAACTACAATTGTTACCCATGGTTTGTGTAACTGTGAAGTAACATAGTTTTTATGGTATTGTGATGGGCTTCTTTTGCTACAGTTTCAGTTGGACTCACTACCAAATCTCATGTAGTCTTGTGTGCAAGGCACAGATCCTGGAGCCTTGCGTTCAGTTGCTAGTTCTGCCACAGAATTACTTACAGTTAGAGGAAGTTGAATAATATTGTTCCAAATGTACAGACATGTTCATTCAGAGGCAGAGAAGTTATGGCTAGTGAGACTATGGTCCTTACTTGCACTGGTGAGTACTTAGTCCCATGAGAAGTCCCAATGATGTCAGTGAGGAGGCCTACCCTTCCGGGACTACAAATGTGAGTAAGGATTACACAATCTAGCCCATAATTTCTATGTACTTAAATTAATCTGTAAATTAGGAACAATACTACTCAACTTCCTCATGAGGTACTACAAGACAAATGAATTAGTGTTTGTAATATGCTTTGAGAATCTCACATGGAAGGTGCTATAGAATTGTGGTGGATTGTGAGTCCATTGTGTTTAGATCTGCCACTCTCATGACAGGTCTACACTGGGGGAGAAATTGTATTTGAGATAAACAGATTCAGGTAAGAGAATTATGGAGCTGGAGTCAACGTACCTTAAACTGAATTTCTGGGTCAACCCCACTGTGAGACT